TATATATCGTGGTATGAACATCTCTAAATTGATACTATCTAAATGTCAGGCCTTAAACTGAACCAAGAGAGGTACAAGTGGCTGTTGCTGAGCAACAAGACAGAAAATACATTTCAGATCCAGTGGTGGGCTGTGCCGAGGGCTGGGAGAGCTACTGCACTGAAGAAAGCCAATCATTTTTGTTTGGATTCTTCTGTAAAATTAATTATGCCATTTCCCTTGTCCTAACGAGAACTCAGACGAGCTGGTTGCAGACTGTGCAGCCTGCTTGTTATGGAAACGCCGTCTTTGGTGCTTGCTGGTTCTTCCTAGTTGCTTGGTGCTCTTACAGAAGGGTAGTGAGGTCTCGCCTGTCTTTTCCAGTTGCAGTCAACAGGAACACTTTGTAAAAAGAAGCCCGGTCCTTGCTTTGCTTGAGACCTTCTCCGCATCCCAGGACTGGCTGCAGTTTCTCTGGCTTCAGCAGTGAAGAAATGAACCTTCTCCTGCCTCTTGTGTTGGTCATTACCAGGATCTCTGTGTATGATATATACGGTGGTCGGGTTTAGCCTTGCTGTCTGGGCATCTGTGTGTTTTATGGATATAAAATAGGAAGATTTTCTGTCTTTTAGGCTTAATAGCATCATCTATAGTGGATCCATTCAGTGTGAGCCAAGCTTCATATGAAGCTGAGAGCAGACCCCTCCAGTAGCATCAACTTCTGTTTTAAGCACAATTCTATCCAAAGAAATGACACAGCTCAGGAAATCTCTTTTAAATCTGTAAGGATGCATGAATGATGCAAGTTCAACAGTTTTGCACTGTTTGAGTTTGGAAAACTTGGTACTTTCCCTGATGGTTGCAGCTCACTGACATAGAGTTTTCTTCTTCCAACCTGAAGAATGCAGGTTGGTTCCTTCAGGAGGCCGTACTCAGCGTTAGCAGCAGTGATGTTCTCTCTTTCCGATTTCCCTGACTGATTTTGGTTGAAATTGGCTTCTGAATTTCATTAGTTAATGCTGTTCTATCTGTCAGCTTTGCTGGTGCTGTCAAAACTGACATTATGGCCTTGATTTAGGTGGTAACAAATTTTCCTTTACTCAACCTCAAAATAAGGTCATTCTTGAAAGAGGGGGAAGGGTCTATTGTAAATAYTTTACATGAATAATATCTGAAAGACTGATTTTGGAGGCTGTCTCTAAATTAATCTCTGCTAAGCTGAAAGTAGTGCAATGTGTAGGTAGGTCTTGATGAGAAAGCTGAACTTTTAGGCATTGAGTTCCTTTATTTCTGCTTGTGGTTGTTTGTTTTGTTTTAAGAGCATTTCCTAAACTCTTTCAGCACGTATCAGAGGAGCTGTTACACGAGCCAACCGGTTATGTCCCCTCTGCAGAAATTCTGGTTATGCAACAGGAGTAGAAAGCTCTTGGAGAGCTGCGCCACTTGGATTTCTCATTCCTGCCTGTCAGCAATGTCAATTATTGCTTCAAGAGGTTAAGATCTCAGCAGAGAAGCTTTGTGAGTCATGTGGTCTCATTTGATAGATAATTACTATAGTCTGCTGATTTTTCTTCCATGTGATCTAAGATGAAATCATGAGGTATGAGGAGAATACTGCAATTTCTTATGACATTTTCTTATGCGAAATTCTGGTAATTCTGCTAGTTTTCTGACACGCTAGGGAAAAGGAAAACTTTTTCCTGTCCTTTTTCTCTTCTGACTTGAACGATCATAGCAATATTATTAGTTATAACCTTTTAGCAACCCAATTTACCATTCCTTGAATAAAGTACAGCGATTCCATCCTTCTATGTGAGTTTGGAGGTGACATTTTCTTGGTTGATTTTCTGAAGCTTAGAGAGTCTAGGCAGGAAATCAAGCTTCAGAATGAAGCTGTTGTTGGGCATTTCATTACTTCTGGTGCAAGACTGTCTCATCTGTGTGTCATGTACATTCATTCTGAATGTGGCTGCTCAACTTACGGAAAATTTCTTGGAACAACTGATCTGTCTTTACCTAGTTGGGAGTACATTGCAGTTACCARCATTTAAAGCGAAAGGGGCACTATTGGCAAGCTTGCGATGGCATGAGCAGTGTCAGAGTTTAAGCAGAATATCATTCACTGCCCTTCCTTGAGTAAATCTCACTGTCAATTTATTTATTTCCCCGGCAGTTAAAAGTTTGCATWAAACTACTACTGAGAAGAGTAAATTCCCTGACCACAATCAAGCACAACTTCAGTAGAGTTCTTGCTGTAATTCTTACTAAATTTCAGTGTTGTTTTAGGCCAAAATCTCCTCTTTATACAAGGCAGATACATAATTCAGTGTCTCTAAAAGCTTAACATATTGTAGTCTTATTTTAATGTCATAAACTTCATTCTATATGTTAGTCTAAGGAGGGATGAATAATAGACATACTAAAGAAAGGTTATTTCCCAAGAAAGAAACTAAATGCTCCCATTCTTCAGGACTTTGTCCTTTTTTTCTGCCAGTGAAAATGCTGTTTTCTGTAAGGTCACCAGCTTCACTTGTCCACTCTAGAATGTAGAGCTGTAGGTTTTTAACATCAACTGATTACATAAAAGATAGCATGAAAATCCGTTTTAATTCTGCTAAATTAACAAGGTGCAAATGTTCCCAAATGACTCAGTCCTGGTAATTGGCAGCATCTTTCTTTTTCCTCCCACCTGTCCTTTTCCCTGTTCTTTTTTCAGTGGCAGGGCTGTGAGCAGGCAGTGCCGGTGCGGGAGCCTCCCGGTGCTCCGCGGATCGCTCCGGTATCCGCACGGTTGTCGTGTGAGAGCCTGGGCTCTCCAGGGACCCAGTTCCCATGGTGAGCCGCCTTCCTGCTCCCTTCTGTGGGCCCTAGAAGATGAACAGTTTCACATCAATAAATTAAAGGTGCTCATTTCATCCTGGCGTGGATCATGCACCTAGGAGCAGCTGTGCAGCATTTCCACATACAGCAAACAGAGCTTGTGCCCTTTTTCACTTGGCAAAACTCTTCTTGTAGCCTGGAGGAGACTGGCTTGCTAACTCGCAAAAGCAGTATTTAAAAGCACTTAGCATCTTTTGTATTTACCTTTTCAGTGCTTTCTGTTAATTCTTAGGCTGAGAGAGAAATAGTGCCCCATYTGAAATATTAATGATGTAGTGAAACTACAGATTTTACTGAGAAAATAGTAAAACAGAAAGCCCTGGGAGAGATGTGATATGCAATCTGTTTTCGGAGGTGTCTGATTGTTTAACACAAAGATGCTAATTTAAGCATCTGCAGAGTTCCTGGCAGAATTTTGATTTTTATTTTAAAGAAAAAGTTCTGCAAATTCTGTTTGAAGGAAGCAAGGTTCTGTGCTGTCTGTCCAGCCTAATTTGGGGAAGTGAGGAAGAGGCAGTCATCCTGAACTGTGAAATGAGAGCAGGCAAGAGACTCCTACCTCCCTAAATATCCAAATGGGGCATTTAAATGCATTGCATATACAGGGCTTCAAGACCACTATTCCAAGCTATTAGGTAGCTAATGAGCTGTTGGTCCTTTTGAACTTAGACTTCTGTAGGCAGATCAACACCATCCCATGCATTTTATTCCCCATGTTTGTGTTTCAGTCTGGTCTCAGTGTTGGCAGTGATTTATAGATTAAAAATCTCCCTTCAAAGATTTTACTGGAGGAACATCAGTACTTAAATTATTTCAGTAACTAAACCATGTCTTATGCACCTAATTTCCCAGCTGCTCTGCTGAATTTTTATTGACATCCCTTACTTTTATGCACATTGCTTCACGAATTGCAGCAGCACATGTTGAAGTATTGTTTTCTGAATTGTTCATTTTTCAAATAATAACTTAACATTTTTAGAAGTAAAAATGACCTAAAATGTGCTTGGACTTACTGTAAACGTCACAATTGCTTTTCTGAGTGTAATTGTGGGTCTGCCCTAATGCAGCTGAATGGTACCAAGATCCAAAAGAGTCTGAATCTGTCAGCTCACACTTCAAGTCTTAAAAACATGTGACTGCTTGTGCTTCAAGATGATAAATAACCTTTTCATGCTCTTAACATGTATTTCAATATTCAGAACCATCTGAAGAATTTTAAACACCTTGTTTATTAATCATTGGCAGTTCCTGTATGCTTTATTTTATTTAGCTTTAATTGTTTTTTTTTCCCTTTTCGTATTCAAGGGCGTTATCCCAGCACAGCTGCTGGGGTAGCTCAGTGGGTTCGGAGCGGGAGGAAGGCAGCCCGCGCGCCCGTCACCTTCCYCGTGACACATCCGTGACTTAACGCTGCGGGAAGCAGCCAGGCAGCCTGCAGAGTCCAGCATGGCCAAAGATGGTCATCAAGCCCAGGCCTTTGGTTTGGATGAAAATTGATTATTAACTGCATTTGCGATTTTTTCTATTATTTAAAGGCCTTTTAAACAAGACCACTCCTTTTTATTTTTTTTTTAATATTATTTTTATTTTGGCATTCTGGAGTTAATCCTTTCTAAACTTTCCCTGTATTTTACATAGACCAACAAAAGAGCTCCCAGTACTTGAGATCAGGTAGCTTTGCCTGAATTAGCACAAATGCTTTCTAAGCATTCTCTTAATATTAAAACCTTTTTTTACATGTTTTGCAAAGGGAATTAAAACCTCTTCAGTTCCAGTAAGTCTCAGAAGAGTCACTTGAATTATTTTTTAGCCAGCTTTTCTCTCTTTCTGAAAACATCTTTCTTTTACAGATTTTCAGCATTCAGTGTGTCTATTGGAACATTATTTTGCATGTGAATTGCCCTTTTTCTTTCTWAATAGGAAATAAAAATAACCTCAAATCACAGAATATAGAAATGTAGACTTTTATCAATCAATAAAGCAACTTAGTTCCCTGAGGCATTCTAATAAATGTTCTCTCTTTTTAAAGGCTCAGCTGTTACCCAAATGCATATTTAAAAGAAAGGTTTTAGTGTCATATATATTGAAGACTTAACTGTCTTGCTAACTAAGAAGTCACTTAACCTTTTGCTCTTGTCTTCATGTTGCAGTATGCCAGGGTTTGGATCCCTGATCCAGAGGAGGTCTGGAAGTCAGCAGAACTTCTCAAAGATTACAAACCCGGAGACAAGGTTCTCCAGCTTCGACTTGAGGAGGGCAAGGTAGGTCTCCACGTTATTTGCAAACTGTTCTTGCTCTTGGCTGGAACCTGGTGTAYCTAACACAGAAAGCTGTGTTGTCAAAATATCTCTATTTATGTAAGTGCAATTATTCTTGTTCACAGATTTTGAGCAGTGTTCTTGTGCGTGCAACTAATCTTTCTGTTTGCAAAAATCGTTTTTTTCTGATTTTTCAAGTACTATTCTTTATTTTTTTTTTTTTATTATTTTTTTTTATCCAGCTCCTTCTCATGTTTAGTTGGATCATCTTTTTATATATATATGCTGTTAAAGCTGTAACCCTAGTTGGATATTCCAGGGTGCTACTAGGGCACTAGTGTTGCAGAAAAAGAACTGTGACTTTAAGCCAAGCATAACCATCAGAAGATTAATAAAGATAAATTTGGTCTAGGATTAATGGTACTGCATACTATATCAGGAAATGATATCTCTACAAAAAGTGTCACATGCCTATACTGAAGGCCTACTATTTTTTTATATATGCCACTGAAATATATTTACATTTTAATATGGAATGATGATGATTGCCCGGATCTTCACAGATGAGAAAAAAGTATATACTGCAGTAGGTCACTTTGTTAGTAATTCTTTACTTCTTACCAGTARGCAGTTTAGATTCTGTTTTTATGCAGTGGTACACATAGTAATGAAGTAGAAATTAACAGATTAGATACAGAAATGCTTTCTAAATATTTTCCTTGAATATTTTCAGTCTTCGAGTCTGTCACATCACTTACAGCACAAGTTGAGTACAAGTTAATTTCCCTACCTCCCACATGTTCCAGAGTATGTGGTGGTGTTACACACTTGGATGTTGCATCTAGTAGATGTAATAGTAGTGTTTGATACTTAAATCATACTGTGTTGGACCAGGAGAAGAGCTGAGTTGAAGATCATTACATCTGTGGACAGATGCAAGAAAAACATCTGCAGTAGAGAGAAATTTATAGCTGCATAATTTTTCATTCTATGCCTTATTTTATGTGTTCTTATTTGTGTTCTCCCAACATTCTCAAATTTTCTGCATCTGAAGCTGACTGAATTGATGAAACTTTATGTTCTGCTTGAGAAGAAAATAATGTGGAAAAAAATAGATTTATGATGTATTTCAGTTTAAGAATAATTTTTGGTAGCAAATATTTAATAGTTWTAAAAATGATATTATGGTTGTATGTTGTGTGTAGAGAATCCTTTTGGGGAAAATTTTAATGATATTTTTGGAGGAAGCAATGCTAATTCAAAGCAGCTTTAGTTTAGCCTGTGTCTTTACAGTTTGGAAATATTTTGCTGGGGAAGAGAGGTTGGACGAGCTGAATGAGAAAACATTAAAAAAAAMCCCACATTTTTTTCGACATAGGATATCTATTTATTTTTCAGGACTTGGAATATTGCCTAGATCCAAAGACCAAGGAACTCCCTCCCTTGCGGAACCCTGACATCCTTGTTGGTGAAAATGACCTCACAGCTCTGAGTTATCTCCACGAACCTGCTGTTCTCCACAACCTCAAAGTTCGATTTATCGACTCCAAACTCATTTACACCTATTGTGGTAAGTGCCCTCTTTTTACCCCATAGGGTATCTTTACAGAGAGTAACRTAGATGAGGGAGGAAAAAAGCCGATTATTGATACGTGTGCTTTTAACTTGCAGTATTTTAGTGACAGGCCGTGTCGGGACGTTCGTGTGAAAGGTCTTGTGCTTTGTGTCCCCTGGCTGCCCAAGCAACAGTCTCTGCTGCCATTAGTGCCGCTGTGTCTGCCAGTGCCGCTGTGCCGGTCCCGTAAGAGAGCCTGCCTGGTTTGGGGTTGGTTTGCTTGCAAATGTGGATTGTGTTTAGCCTGGTTTGAGAGGCGTTCTAAAGGAATGTGTTGTCTGCTAGTTTTGTTTTGCTGTGTTTTGGAAAACACTGTTGTTTTCATGGTTTTCCCAGTGCTTCTTTTGTTGGCAGTTTGGCTGATTTTATGCAGCCAAATGGCTGCAAGGCCTTTTACTCTTTCTGGAGCTCAGTGATTTGCCAAAAAGCTGGCATTGTAGAGCTTGATTAGCCTCTTGGCTTCCAAACGAGACTCAGTGGAGAATTCTCAGAAATGCCTGCTGGATTTGCTGGAAACGTGTGGGTTAGGTAGCCTTGGGGTTCCAGGTAATCAAAGGGGAGGTTTAATACTAATGAGCGCATGGAGAAATACATTCTGGTGAGCATATGCTGACTTGGGATGTAGGTAAATGTACCGTATCTTATAGAATAAATTAAATAACTGCAAAATTTTAAGCTTATCTTTTAGAAACCTGAGGCTTGGGCTGTGGACATTCATTTTTCAAGTCACTCGCTCAGTCTTCATCTGAAGCGTTTGTGACTTCCTCTCCAGCAAAGGTTTCTAGCTTAGAGCTCTGCCCCTGGAATGTGCCCCTTCATCTGCCCCAGGCAGCAGTAGCCAGGCGGGTTCACGTCCATGGTGAACGTGGCTTAAGTTAAACCCATGAGTTAGCCTGCAGGAGATGGAGAAAAACCTTCATCCACCAAGCATGTTATGGTAACGTTATTTTCAACCAGCAGATGCAGATATGGGCTGGCCATGTGTCCACAGCCTTAGAATTTAAGTCAACTGTTCTGTCTTTGGAGTAAATTCTTCAAAATTTGACTTGCAGGTTAGCTGAATTCTTAAACAGAAGATTTTTTTTTTTTCCCCCTAGTTGAAAGGCAGCCTTTCACCTGAATGTTGGGATTATTTCCCAATTCTGTTTTACTGCTGAGAATATGAAATGAAGAATTAATGAAGTTAGTTGGACAGTTCTGAAGGGAATGTTACCTGCTTTGCAGGAGGGCAAATTTTAATTTGAATCAACAAATTATTTATTTTAATATTCAGCTGGTCCTTAGATTGAAAAGAGCTGGTACTGCTTATTTTGGGTGTATGTAAGAATAGCCAAAAGAGTAACCATGGAGTTTAGCTTAATGTAATTCTGTACAATAAAAYGCATGTAAATAACCTGTGAAGGGACATGATATTTCTTATGAAAAATCAATATGATTGAATGAATATTTATGATTTAATGAATATTATTTAATGAATAAGTTTATTATAAATTAAGTTTATACATTATTAATATACATGAATAATATAAATTATAAAGTGTATAAATTTATAGCTTTAATATAAATTATTCTGAATTATAYCCATGTGAGATGCATTGATTCAAATGTGGAATAGAAAACATGAACTCTGGCAGGAAGGTGCCGCTGCAGGAGCCCAGCCTGTGGCAGAGCCGTCAGTCCCAGGTGCAGGGTGGGCACAGTCGCTGCTCCCTTGGGATAACGGGGGTAGAAAGCGCTGCCCTGATCTGGATCCTTCAAGCAAACACTAGGATGTAAACCTGTTAATTCCTCCTCCTGTGGAGCCCAGGCCACCTTGGGTTAAGAACAGAAAAACCTCTCATTTTGCTTCCTTGCTTTATTGATGGTGTTAGGAATTGGAGCATGGTTCTTGTTCAGTGCTCAGAGCCCTGGAAAATCCCCAGGGCCGCGTGGTTGTCTGTGCTCCTGGAGTGTGTTGAAGGGAGGTAAGAGTGAGCATTTTCCCCTGCGCATTTCTGAGTGCTGACAAATCCCCCAGGGACCCTCGGGAGCCAGGAGAGCTTCTCAGGATTTTTCCTAATGCCAGACAGTTTTCTGTAATTCCTACTGGTAGCGTCGCAGGAGCCTCGGGGAAGCCATCTCCTCTGCTACGAGGGGCTGTGCCCTGCTCTCCTGTGGAGCTCCCAGGGGCTGGTGCCCGTGTGTGAAGGTGTCCTGGGTCCCTAGTTTCTGCCAGCTGCCTCCAGGACACAGCACAAGGCAGGAGCAGAGGAGCCAAGGAGTAAACAAGCAGCAGAGGCCCCTGCGCCGCTCTGGAGAGACCTGCCGTTGTCCCCAGGCCTTCCCCATGGTTTAGTTGTGCTGTGGCTGTGCTGCAGTTTGGGTGGGCTTGTTGGGCTTTGCAGAAGAGGCCACCGTGCCCTGGACATGTCCAGGCACTGCCTGCTGCAAAGTGYTGCCAACATATATTCGTCCTAGGTTGTATCCCCTATGGCAATCCAGCCTGATTTTGTTATCCCGTCTAGTTTTCTTATCGCACCCGGTCCCGAGCCTTTGCATGTTTCCTCATCTTTGTGCTTCAGCCAAAATAAGGATGTTAGCAAGAATTTGTCCCATTTGGCCCGGCCGGGCTGGCTGGTTTGGTGCTGCCRGGCTGGCTGCCTCCGAGCTCCCGGCTTGCTTCTTTTCCACTGCAGCTGATGGTCCCCGCAATGTTCTTTAAAGAAAACTTACCTTTTCTTATACCATAATTTCAAAGTGTAGATGTTCAAAACTGACACCCAAATCCTTCCACAAGTCTGCTAGTACTGAGGTCCTTTATTTTCCCTTCCCAACCCCCTTTATTTCTTGGCTCATCATTAAAGCATTTGAACTTGGCATAATTTTTTACAGACACTTTTAACTCGCATCCCTGAGTCATTTCAGTGGAATCATGGCTGATGGAAAAACACCGAGTCTAGTTAAATGTGCATACATGATGTGCAGTTTGTGGGAATAGATCAAGCCTCTTASATGTTTTCTTGAAATATATTCTGTTGTTGTTCAGTGTTTTTGCTGTGGTGTGTGCTGCTTTTGTAAGTGCATGGTGRGATTGAAAAAGGGGGTGATATTCGCAGCAGCAGAGACAGGTTATAGTTGCCTTCTCTCAACTTTTGCATGGAAAATGTCGTAAATAGAAATCACAGCTATCGGGTCTGCACAGAAGACCCCAGAACCACACTTGGGAAGCAAACTTCCCAAGTTTGGGAATGTGTGTGAATGTGTGTGAATTTGGGGAAATGTATTGAGTACCGTGGGAAGGATTTTGGTACGTGTTCATCAGCAACCAGTTGGTCCAAGAGGAGGTTAATAGTGCTCTTGTATGGTCATCATGCAGYCACTTGCACCCATGTGACACTTTCAGGTCCTGAAATATGTATGTGGGAAGAAAATCCATTTAAAACATGGGCATAGGTAATATTAGAGTTTCTTCCCCCCTGCTCCTGTTAYGCTGCTTTATGCCTGCTGGCTCCAGGAGAGAGACTTGGGAAAACAAAGTTSTTCCTGGGATGTTTTCTATAATAAGGTACAAGCAGACTTTTCCTGCAGGTTTTGTATATGTATCTGAGGTCAGACTAAAGATCTGTTGAAGTCAACATCAAGTCCTTGTTCTTCTATAGCTAGTATTTTTATAAAACATAAAAGGTAGTTTATTTGCGATTCAATCCATATTTGTTTTAATACAAGTGTWAATAACCTCTTCTGATTGATTTGCTTTCTAGGTATTGTCTTAGTGGCCATAAATCCTTATGAGCAACTGCCCATCTATGGCGAAGACATCATCAATGCCTACAGTGGCCAGAATATGGGGGATATGGATCCGCATATCTTTGCGGTGGCTGAAGAGGCATATAAACAGATGGCCAGGTTAGTAGGACACGAGTCTTGAATTTGTTGCTTTTCTAAAAAAATACAAGATTAAAAGTTTCTGACCAACTGACATTTTATTTACAATTTGTGAAATATTTTACCATCTGCCTTTCATTCGTTGTTTCAGTAAATTTCACAAGAGGATAAGGTGYCTCAAAGTAGCGAACAGTAAAACATGGTGAGCACCGTAAAGACTATGCCTGCTGTCAGAAGGGACCTTTGATTAGCAAAATATGGACCTACTTTCCAATCATCAACAGCTTTTTAAAGACAAAAATGCTAGATTAACTGTGTTACATTTATAATAGGTGTTGACAAAAGAAAGCAATTATATAGCTTGCAAATGACCTTACTGTTGGAGTCTCCTGCTGATGTCAGTAAGGAAACAGCGATGGGATTTGCCTGTGACTGTTACTGACTCTAATTATGAGGGAAGAAGGACAGATTGCCCCGGGATTGCCTGAAAACAGGGCAGGTACCCATGATTACAGTGCTCTAAGGAATTGTGAGGACTGTATGGGAAATATATATATATTTTTCTTAGCATTGTATGAAAACAAACTCATCGTCCCAGGAAAAATACTTCCGAGAACCTATTCTTCCCCTTTAGTCCATGAACGTGCCAGATGAATCATTTTCCATTTTATTCCTGGGATTATCTTTTGGGTGTCGTGTGGTCTGTGGTTAACAGAATGATTTGTAATAGTCCCACTGTTCAGCTGGAAGAAGCTGATGGATTTTTCCTTATTGGCAGTACCCCTTGATCCAGTGAATCAAGGAAAAGACTCCGTGATCTCTGAAGTAATTGTGATGGTCCTCAAACTGTACTGCAGGAGAGGGAGGCAAAAGGCACATTGTTTGAAAAGAATGAAGAATTCATCTTTAAAATTAGCTATTTGTTCATTTTAGAATTCATGTGAGAGTAAAATGAATGAATAAAATACTCCATACCCACATACAGCATCTCAAAAGAACATTGCAGTATTTCCTGATTTAGGGCAGTTGCAGAACAGCTACTGTTTAAAAAATACTCTCCGCTTGCAATCTTGTATGGCAGATGTGGAGTGTTGCCATTAGCTGCCTTCTGCTAAGATAAAAGGCCCACAGATTGGCATGAGATTGTAAAGGCAAAACAGTGGATCATGAGAGTCATATCTGCATTGTGGCTTTTTCAGTTTAGATCACTGTTGTTTTACAGATACTATTAATCGAGTCCTCCTAGCTCCTGTAGGAAATAGGAGTTTATCAGTGCAGTGTTACACCTGAGGCACAGCAGCCTGTTGCTCTAAGAGGAATGTAGTTGAGACCCGCAGAAACTCCTCGCCAGGAGGAGGCTGCAGGGGGATCTTGGTGCACAGGCTGCCTTGGCTGCTGTTCAGAAGAGGCTGATCTCTTCCTAGTGCTGGATTGCCCTTATTGTATTAACTTGCTAGTACCTGGTGTATGGAGGAGCTTGCTATTGTCCACAGCTGCGTTCGCTCCCCTTTCCTCCTGGGGCACGAAGGAGCACTCAGGGGGCTGTGATTTGGACCAAAGTTTCTGCTGTGGTTTTCCCTTTTTGCATTAATTGCCTCCTCTACGACTCCAGGTGCTCCCTCCAGCAATTCTGCTTTCCTGAAGAGTTGCAAATGAGATGTGAGAGAAGTTTCTTTTAAAATCAAATGATGAAAAATTAAGAAAGCATAGAAATGATCTCAAATAATCCCGTAACCTTAATAAAATACGCCCTTGTGCGTTGACAACCTTAGAAACAATTTGTTATTCTTTTATGAATAGATGACTGTATTTCCTCAGTGCAGAATGAAATCTGAGCACACAATGAGAACTAATGCAATTCCTCAACACTGAAGTAACAATTTCCTTGTTCATGTAAATTSCCATATATACATAAACATGTATATACATTGTTCATGTATACAATGCTTATTTCATTTTCTCTCTCTAATTTTGTGTGTGTTTGTTTTAAGAATTCTTTTGTCATTCAGGCTTCTTGGGTCATATTTTCTAATGCTGTTCCCAAATCCTTAGATGTTTTTCCTTCCCTTTAACATCAGTGATACTTTCTACATTCTGGGTTCACCTTTTATTCCTGAGCTATAAAGTTAAAAGAAAAAGGATGCACAAACTAACATTTCAGCAGTTGGTTGTTTAAAAGTCAAAATCAGATTGTGTCTTAGATGATTTCATTAAAGCTTTGGTAATTGTATTAAATATTCATACAGTAGCTATGCTTATAGCAATAATCTACTTATATGAACGTACTTGGCAAGATTTATTTTTCTATTGTCTCTAATCTTTCCTAACTCCGTGTTTAAGTGATAAATGAACTGATTAGTCATGAGCTTGCCTATCGGTAAAGCTTTGGTGGGCACCTGTAAATACTTCTTACTGCTTGTACCTTCTTGATATTTTGTGTTGTAACGATTTAGAATTTGTTCTTACCAGCTTCATCACTGCCCCTGTTGTAACTGAGAGGCTTCTTCCTGCTATTTAGTCATAACCAAATGATTTCTCCGGTCTCCTTCCTTAGCCAGTGCTTCATGACCACAGTCAGGGGAGCTAGTGGCTGCAAACTGTATGACTGCAGTGCAGAAATGCCAGAGCTCAGGTCTGACTTCTGAAGGAAAAGAGACATTCAGCCACCGCTTGAGTTCATGCTAATATAAAGCATAAAGATACCTTTTGTACGTGAGCCCTGCTGCATGAAGAGAGCTCAGCTTTGTGGTATTTATGGCCTGTGGGCCATTGTGCACGTTTAGGAATCTTATTTCATGTTTTCAACTGGAGTCTGTCAACAATTTTCAGTGGAGGATGAGCATAAAGGAGCATAGCCGCTCTTTACCGAGAGCAGATAAATAGCAGATTATTGTTTGTTCAGTAGGTTAGTGCCCTTTTCAGCTCAAGAAAATGTGCACAACTTTTTAGAACTGCTTTTATGTTGGGCCTCTCTCTCTTATCCATATCTTGGCACATTGTTCCTTTTCTCTTTCCCATTCTCGTGCAGTTTCTCTGCACAGACTAACAGCTTAATTTTCCCTGCTTATCCTTTCCTCTCCTCAAAAAAGCACCAGTAAGCAATGAATTAATTTTACAATTACATTTAAATGGTAATAGACTTAGGATTATATACCCCAGTTCCTCAGAGTTAAGTTATTTGGAATGGGACTTTTTTTTTGCATTTGTCSAGGACTCTGGACAATTGCATGGCTGTCCAGAGTGCATGCTGCAAGATTTCAGGGCATCTCTCTTCCTGCCCTGCAAGCAGGGAGGTGATRCCTCAGCTGGTGGGACACTGCAGGGCAAGCGGGATCTCAGATGGGATCCTCCCTGAGGGCCTGGAAGAAGCCAAGGGGTGCAGAGCTCCCCTTCTGCCCCTGAGGTTTCATGCCTCCTATTTTAGGGGCCGCTGTGGCTCTGTAAAAACAACTGCAGCCCAATTATGCAGCTTCTGGGAAGGCCTGGGCCTCTATTCAGACCTGTCTTCTCACGATACATTGAATTTAGGGGAGAGGAAGACATTCCCCATTCTGGCTTGTGGGCAGAGCCCACCCTCTGAAAGGTGGTGGGAAGTACATGAACAAAGTGGATCTTGGAGTCCACCACAGCCCAGTCTCTGGTCAGTTTAAAATACAACTGGATGGCACTGAGGATTATTTGAGACTGCTTAAGAGTCTGTGTAAGTAGTTCTTACTGCCAAACATGTACATTTATTATCAGGCAGGGTGGGCTTGCCTTTGTTGGGAGTCTTGTCCTTCAGTTTCTGTTTGTCCATTTTGGAGTGCATGTAAGTCAGGGTGTGGGTACGTGGATGTATCTGATTRATTTGAGCAAACTTATAAGGAGACTCAGAACTTTGATAGTGTTGGGAAGCTGGTAAGTCTAACTCATACATGGGACCCCTTTTGCCATATGGTAAGAATATATTGCAATATGGAAGCTAATCTATATTTTTATCAATACCTCAGTGGTCTGTTTTTTCCATTTCAGTGGCTGATGGCAGGTACAGCAGGCCAGTGCTTTTCAACTTAGTAAACTAAGGTGGCCATTGCATTCTGTTAATGAGTAGAGTTGTCTAGCGAAATGCAAGTTGAAAATAATGTCTGGAAATGATTACATTCTGATGAAGTCCTTATAAAACTCAGCAAATTCCAGAATGGAAAGCAACATCGTTGAGTCAGTCTGCAGAATTTTGCTTTTTCTGTTTGGACAAAGCCTGATGATTTATTCAGTGTTAATGTGTATCTTTTTTGTTAAATTATTTTTAATAAGCAGGTGTCTTGTCTGTTTTGAGTTATTTGTGGCATGTTGCTCATGGCTCTCAGTTGTATAAAGATTTTATATATCACTTTTTTTWAAAAAAAGCAAGTTGGTGAGCTGTGAGTAGGTGTTTTGAAAGCACCTTGACTGACAGGCTCCAGTCATCCCAAGCCTCCCAGAATGATGCCCCCATGTAAAAATGCACATTTGTTCAGCAGCTTCTTTGCCTCCAAGTGCTTCATAAATGCATAAGCTGTTCTCCCCTGCCAAGACTTGAGAGGGGGATGATTAACCACTTGTCATGGATCTCTGTTTAGTTGTGAAATGAGAGCCTGCTATAATGGACCCTGTTCAAACGTCCAGCAGCAGCATTTGACATACAGCTTTTCAGATGAAATACTTATTCCATGGAGAGAGGTGGCTCTTTTGGGGCTGTGTTGTTAAAATAGAATGGAAATGGAAATAATACTTTCTGGAGAAAGCAAATTTTGTGAATACAGAAGAAACTCTCCTGCTCGGGTCTGCCTTTTCTCTGGTTTTATGAGTACAAGAGACCAGATACAACAGTCAAGTTGACATAACACGAAGATCCTATTTCTTTTATCAGTGATTATTTTTAGGCAGCAGAAGGGTTAAGCCTGGTCTTAATGGAAAGCTAGAGTTCATGCAAGGTGTCCTGCTGGTAGCTAAGCAATAAGCTTCAGTAAACTGTTGCAGGAGTGACCTCTGGCTAATCCCTA